TGGACGCGGCGTTTTCTAAACTAGTGTTAGCCTATCCATTAGAGCACCTGATTTCACGTGGGCTACGAAACTATACCTGACTCAACTGACTATTTTCGGTTCTACGTTGCCTGTTGTCGCCATCTACGACCTGGAACCATCGTCATTTGCGGGCGCGACGTCGCACGCGACGCCCATCAGCGCGGCGAATTACGATTCTCTTGTCACAAACCCCTCATGGACGCCACCGCATGCGAAATGTCTTTAACCCTCAGCAGCTGGAGAACCCTTTGATTTCGTAAAATTTGTTCAAAAATCTTTTGAACGAACACGGTCATCAAGACTCACAGTGATTTGAACAAGGCAGTTTGATGTTGGCACACCGCCATTATCGACTGTCAGTTGATATGGTCCCGGTACGAGATTCAGGTAACGACAAAGTGTATAGCCATCATTGATACTACCATCGCATTTCATCACATTTCCTGTAAAATGAGCACTACGCAATTGAATTCTTCTCGAACCATTCAATAACCCTATCAGGGTTTCATTGGTACTTGATAGCAACAGAAGATAAGCGCTAAATACTAGAGGGTTTGGAAAAAAAAACTGGGCGAAAATCATAAGAAAATAGCTTAATCATGAATCTCTCACGAAAGCTCGTTATCGATCTGTCAAAAAATGCCTAATAGAATTCATCATACCATTGGAGTCGGTTAGATTCAGGTAAGGTTTACCAGCAGCGTTCACCTCAATGGTAAGCGCTGGAGTCATGCTATCGACCGGAACATAATACCTGTAAAGGATAGAAATAAATGTATTGATTGCAGAGAATATAGAGCGATGATAAATTAGGAACTCTTTGTAATAGCTCACTTTCCAGTGCATCCTGATGGAAGATTCAGGAGATCAATGAGCTGGTAGTCAACTGAACTTTGTGGAAGCTTGCCAACATCGCTGCAGATAGCTAAATGGAGTTGAGTCTAGGACTGTGACCGTCAAAAAAATGAAAAAATGTCAGAATACTGTAGTGCCCCTCAGTCAGAGGTGGCTAGGCGTGATAACATTTTATGTGATTGGTGGAAAGCCTATAGTGTAGTTCGCTGCGGACGGTTGGGCGTGTCAGGCGGGATGAGTTTGGCGCGGTGCCAAACCCGTTCTCCACCAGTTGTTAAAGCGAGCAAGTGATATGACTGTATCACATCGTTCGTATTACTATCCTCATCGGTATTACTCGTTTCTGCCACTAGAGTTGTCGGCATGCGCACTTCAACAAGAAGGCCAGAAAAGCGGCTTTACGGCGTTGACACACTCACATTGCCATACACGCCCAACCGTCCAACGGAGGTATTACGGACCGTTACACTGTAATGTAACTGCCTGCGCTTCTCATCACCCATTGAGGGGCCGGAAAGTGGCGACTCTTCTGCTGCGATTTTTGACTACGACAGCCTACTTGGCAAAGAAGGAGCACAACACAACACGCATTGCTTGAGCACGACTGGTGACCAACCCGCTTCGCTCAACGACGGATAGTTGAGTTCTATGACAAGCCCAAAGTCAGCTAACTTTTTTTCAAGCGCGAAAAGAAGCCCAGAAAAAAATTATATCGGGGACCCGTGGAATCATGGAATAAAACGGAACTGCCGTCTTCCATAGACGAGTTACTCCGGATCTGTTTTTTATTGCCGCAGAACGTGTTCCTGCCACCTTGCTGGCGGAATTAGTCGTATTCTCACGTATCAGTCATGCCTAATACCATTTAAGAGTGCGAAAAAACAAACAGCAGTGAAAAATTGAACTCGTAACAGAAAAAAAGCCTTTGGAGTTTTGACTGGCGGGCAACTGGCGGCGGGTCACTACATTAGGCGGCGCTCAGGACTTCTGCAACCACAGCGCTCCGGTCGCGCGTTCGACCCATCGACAGTCTGAACAGCATGGCTCACTCGATTCGAGTCGACAGGCGCGACCCAAGGCGCTGCCGTCGCGATCTTCGAACGCTGCCTTATGTAGGCCCCTGCGCCGCCACTTTCTGGGAAGCGGCGAAAGTGGGATTATTTTATAGGGTGAGGACCAGACTACATGAACAAGTAAGGGACGCCGTATGGTTAAAGCTGGGACTGTCCGTTGAAGCGACTTGCGTGCCATACTGAGAGAAAAGGTTCAATACGAAATACCTTGGACTAGATAGCGCAAAAAAAGTAACTGATCAACAGCAAGCCAAGCTTCGATTGACGGGAAATACCGATTATCTAGATTTAATAAATTATTCGAATTCTACTGCTATAGTACTCCTTCGAAAAAAGTCCTGGGAGTTTTTGCAGTTGAAGCTGCCCTCGATAAGGATAGGAGTCTTAACGAAACAAAACGAAACAAGAACATGACTCACGATTTTCGCAGTACTGTCCAGTCCAGCCGGGTTCACATTGGCTAGTGATGCCGAGAGTTGCATAAATTGCTCGTTTCACCCTTTTGTGGAATGGCTCGCTGGGGATTTCGTAGAAATTTGGTAGTTCTTCATGTGCTGGTCTGGAGAAGAAAGATGAGACCCCTGAAATACGGTAGGGTCCGATAACAAGAATTAAGATTTCCCAAAAACAAGATCTATAATTGGAGTGCAGGGAAATAATAGAATGAACGGAACCTATTGGAACCTTAAGGGAAGTGGACTATTGGTCGATTGATTTCTCTTACAAACGAAAAACCCTTATTACCGTACCTTTACTCCAGTCATTGTTCTGAGCTATAACAATACTCAGAAATAACTGAAGTAACAGCAGCGACCGCATAGCAACACGGCTGGCACCAACAGTTTACGACCGCTGATAACGCTCAACAATATCTACGATCTTAGGGCAATAAACCAAGGGTGGAATCGGTTGTTAAATGCGATAAGCTGCAACTCCCTAAGCGATATCACGCAACACTTCACATGAGTCATTCATGAGAGACATCTAAGAGAAAAAAAAACTAATACTACGTGTTTTTAGAGCCTTAGATGTGTCTCTCTACTTATTTATTTTATTTTGTAGACGTGTGAAAGAAAATGCAGTCCTCATCATTGCTGACCGGTGGAACCTGAGTACGGGCTCGTGTCAGTGCGCTGCGGTTGCCGTGCGGTGCCAAGTCTTTCTGTACAGTTGTTCGAGCCGGACCATGGCAAGTGACATTACTGTATTATATCCTTCGTATTACTCGTTTTCTACCACTTTTTGTCGCATACGCGTTTCAACAAAAGGCTGAGAACGGCTTCAACAGTGTGCGACACTCTTCTGGCTGACACGCCCCACCGATCCGCAATGCATAGAGGACTGTACCTATGTTTGGGACGTGCAAAAGACGTTTGAGTGAGACCGATAAAATGGCTTTGTTTAGGGCAGTATCAGTTTGTGCTTAGCACGGGAACCAACTAGATCATAAGTTCAGGGGAACAGGTGGTATACTGTATCCCAGAAATTGCGTGTGAAGTTGAATGTGTCGGCTTATGCCAGCGACACACTCAGTATAGGCGTTCCCACAAGCATCCTCTCTGGTTGTTACGTTCTCGTTCTCTGATCGCGAACCAGGGGCAATGATGTGTTCTAGCTTGATGTCACGCCACCTTAAAAGATAAGTCCGCAATAATTTGCCATCACAGATAGGGTAGTAGGGTTTGCATATTGACGACAAGGCCTCTGATAACTCGATAGTGAAGAGAAAGCAGAAAAAACATATCATTGCCCTAGATAGCATATTCCATTTCGATAAACAGTTTGTTACGTGCCCCAATTCACTCGTCTCTCCAACACTACGGCCCTTCATCACGCACAGCTGATTCCCGTTGAGAGATCCAGGGGCTGTTGGAAGTGACGATTTCATGCTTAGCGTCCTGCGGCTCCGTTTTCCACTGGCAACGCGGAGTCCTGGAGGCAGGAGAATAATGCGAAACACTGGAATCAAGAGGGCTTCAGAAACCTGTGTTACGCTCTAGCGCCCCCCTCCCCGCACTTACAATATTTGCCGCGAACCGTCAAGGTTGTTCATCGTGGAGCAGAGTATCCTCCCGACGCCATATTTTCGATTTCTACAGTCCTCATCATTGCGGACCGGTGGGCGTGTCAGTGCGGCTGCGTTTGGCGCGGTGCCAAAGTCGTTCTGCACCAGTTGTTGAAGCGGGCAAGTGACATTACTGTATTATATCCTTCGTATTACTCGTTTTCTACCACTTTTTGTCGCATACGCGTTTCAACAAAAGGCTGAGAACGGCTTCAACAGTGTGCACACTCATACTGGCTGACACGCCCCACCGGTCCGCAATGATGAGGACTGTACACCTGACCGCTGAGCGTGCCTTTCAAGGAAAATATTTGCCTAGAAAATGTCGGTGAAACCTTAACAACCTCCGTTACTGAGAACTTTTGACATCTCTCGAGTTTTTGCGGCTAGTAGTATTAAGACAAATAGATGCTTCTTTTGCTTTAGATGCAGAGCACGTCGTTCGCTTGGAGATCCTCGGCGGAGGGGGGATGAGCAGAGAACCTTTTTAATGCTTGGTTTTTCCTTTCTTGCATGCTATCCACAATGTTGAGGGGTTCCCATTGGGAAGGGGGTGAAAGGATTTGGTTCAGGCCTCAAGGCAGTACAATCCCTCGCTCCCCTCCCCATTGAAAACCCCTCAAACTCCGCGACGACGCGGTGTAGCGCAGTACTATTGTAACAGCGCTCCAACGCTAGATACGCGGTTATCAGAGTACGAAGGAACAGGAGGGTACGTGTCACCTAATCACGCAGGTTGGTATATGGGAGCTTTGGGAGAGTGTGGAGGAATGGTCTCATAACACAACGCCGATCAACCTCCAGCTCCTCCGGCCTCTGGATGCGGTAGTCTCGATGGACGGGAGCGTTATTGCAATTGTAATGCATCGACGCGCGTCATCGCGAAGTCTGATTGCTGTACAAGACGTTAAGAAAACTTTTCCCGCGCCATGCACGAGAAACCTTTTTCTCCAGTTGCTCGGGGTTTCGCGTTTTTTCTCAATTCACACGCGCTATAACCCCTCAGCTCGACATCAGTTGTTTGGGTAGAAACTGAAATTTTTCGGAAATGTGGAAGCTGGAAGCTGGGGAAATTGGTAGGAAGCTGGAGTTCAGGATCAGGAAGTCATGCCTCTTTTTACTCCACTCGAGGAGTTCTAAACCATATACAGTCCAGCGTCGATAAGATACATAGTTGGCTCTCCGTGAAACGTGCACGTCGTGAGCGGCGCCGGTTACCACTGCATTACCTTTACTATGGGCTAGGTGCCCCTCGTGAAATATCTCCAGAATTCGGTCACAACAATCACGCTGTAAAAGTCTCACTCAAAGGCCACCGCTCTAAAGGCATATGGCACGATAATTTGGTATTCGGGTATTCGGTCTAAAATGAGGGTGCTATATAATGGAAAAATGGCGGAAAAACCAAGTGAAAAGTCAAAACATGCGAAGAAGAGCCTTCTTTCCTTATGACTCAAAAAACAAATTTGGACGAGTTCCCCGTGGCATCTTGCCAATAACCGCTACGGACTCCACGTATGTACCCATATATCCATGGTAAACAGCTGCCGCTTCATATAATCCCTTCGCTTAATATTTTATTCCGAAGGCGAAACAATACGAGCACCAAGTAAGATCGTCCATTTGTGGGCGGGCGGGAGTAGTTGGCGTCCGGATCGGTATGTTGCAGCTTGATAGGGCGCTATAAGAGTGCTTTCTTTGGAAAGGCGCTACGCAGCGAATGCTTAGGGGCGAAGAATTCCGTTCCGCCTGGCGAATAAATCCTACTCGTTTTAGGGACTTATCCTGCCAACTGCCTTTAAAGCCTCTTGCGGTCTGAATTGCTCGAATCAAAAAGT